AGCTTTAATTTGAATTTGCATATCAGTAATTGATGGTCTGTTCCACAGTCTGCACCTGGTCTTGTCTTCACTGATGATATGGAGCTTTTCCATCTTCTGTTTCCACTACTTTCTACTACTTAGAATCTATCTAAAAACACTCATGACAATATTAATGACGGGGAAAAAAACATGAAAAAAGCCTCAATGTCCTATTCAGTCTAACACCCATGATGATAAAGAACGGATTTCAAAAGTACATCACCAAAATATACAAAAGCTATGAATCTGTAATATTCAGTTGGTTGTTTTGTTTTCCTTCCCAAAACCATTTCTTCTTCTTCTGAATCTAAGGCACTGAGATTAACAACAGTGCTGGCACTAAAGTCATACTGTTCTAGGTGGCCAATTCTGCTGCTTTCTACTGGCATCACTTTGCTAAGTTACAACTCACTCTACTCTCTCAGCCTTAGTTTTCTCATCTAAAACATGTGGGTAACAAAAATATCCACCTCATAACACTAACATGAAAATTAAATTACATGTAAACATACAAAGTGTCTGGTATAAAGCAAATATTCAATAAAGGTAAGTATGAGATAGTAGTTGCAACTGTAGTAGAGGTGATAAGGTATAAGGGTAAGTCAAAAGGTATTGCTACTGGGGTTCCAGTTCAGTCATGAATGGCTGCATTCTGAACAAAACATGTTTAAACATGTCTTTGTGATCATTGGATGACTGCACACAAGTTCTCTCAGTAAGACACTTGTCTTAGTCTCAATAGCCCACTGCCATCGAGTTGATTCCAACTCATAGCGATCCTATACAGGGTTTCCACGACTACAAATCTTTACAGCAGCAGATAGCCACATCTTTCTCCTGAGGAGTGGCTGATGAGTTTGAACTGCCGATCTTGCGGTTAGCAGTCCAACACCTAACCCACAGTACCACTAGGAATCCTTTATCCACGGTGCCTTTAAAAAAAAGAATGCTAAAAAAAAATGTGTGCAAAGGCCCACTAGATCAAAGAGGTGATCTCTCTATTGGTCTTTTAAGCAAGATTGAATCTGAAGAAGATAATTTTATGGAATAAATCATAACCAAATATGAGTCTTGGATTTACCAATACATTCCAGAGAGCAAGGTCCAATCAAAACAGTGGCTTCCGAGGACATCTACTAGGCCAGTTAAATTCAAGGCAGAGAGGTCAATTCAGAAGGTGTGGAATTACAAGGGGATAATCTTGGTAGAGGTTCTCATAGAACACAGACCAGTCATGGGGGATAATTAGGAAGAAGTTTCAATAAAATTGAAAACTCCACTGATGAGATTAAAAACCAGATAAGTAACATCAAGGAATTTTTTTTCATCATGACAATGAACCTGCTTATATTCTTCAAGGGTAGCAAGGTCTGTCCTATGAACATTCATTGGGAAACCTTACCCTACCCATTCCACAGCCCTAAGCTTCCCCTTCAGATTTCTTTTTGTTCCCCAAACTCAAAGAACATTTAAAAGGAAATACTGCCTTCAGGAGTGTATAGATCTAGATGGAGGATATGTTAAAAACAATACATATTTTGATGTCTATAATAAAGCTTTCTATTATTTTATAGCAATACTTTTTGACTCAGCTCCTACTGCCTAAATAATCAATATAACTCCATATAAGTTTAGACTTTGCTTGCTTGTTTACTCTAAGGCCATAACTATTTTAACTGCCAGTCGGATAACAAAACCATACTCACCTGCACTGTTCATAATTCTACTAATGGCTCCCCTTTCGGATAAGTGACTTTCTTCTCTGTTGCTATTTATCACAGGACAATTCTTAATGGCATGTGTGAGTGATATAATTTTCTCATCTGTAGTTACCATGTACTGCTGAAGTCTTGTCTAGAGAAAAAAAAGAACGAAATATTACCAGCATATTGGATATCAAACCACGATGAGGCACTGTGTGTTAATGCACTGGACTGCAAGGTCAGTTTGAACCACAAGGACAGCGGTTCAAAATCAGCAGCAGCTCCTTAGAAATTCTATATAGCATCGCTATGAGTCGGAACCAACTCGACGGCACTTAACAACAACAAAAACAATTTTATATACACAACAATAAAAACAATTTTATATACACAAAGACCATGTGTTATTATCTGATTCCAGTGTTATGAAATGTCAAGAACAGGGAATTCCATAGAGACAGAAAGTAGATGACTGACTCCTCAGGGTAGGAGAGAGAAGAACAGAGAGAGGCAGCCAAACAGTACGGGGCTTCTTTTTGATGCAATGAAAATGTTTTAGAATTAGACAGTGGTGATGGTTACACAAGGAGTCCTGGTGGCACAGTGATTAAGCACACAGATGCCAACTGAAAGGTAAGCAGTTCAAATCTACCATTCATGGGAGGAAGATGTGGCAGACTGCTTCCATAATCCTAGGAGCCCCTCTGGGGCAGTTCTACTCTGTCCTATAGGATTGCTAGGAGTCAGATCGACTTGACAGCAGTGGGTTTATAATGGGATGGTTACACTGAACACACCTGAACCATACAATTTTTAAAGGGGTAAATTTTATGGTACCTAAATGGTTACGAAAGGAGCTCTGGTAGTGTAGCGGTTACAAATCAGGCTGCGAACCTCAAGGTCAGCAGTTTGAAACTACCAGCTGTTCTGCGGGAGAAAGATGAGGCTTTCTGTTCCCATAAAGATTTATAGCCTTGGAAACCCTGTGCATGGTCACTATGAGTGGAAACCGACTCCATGGTACTTAACAACAACAACAACAAATTATACCTCCATTTTTTAAATTGTACATCCATTCACAACAAAATTACTTTCTTTTAAAGGAGCTCTGGTAGCGTAGTGGTTACGAATCGGGCTGCTAACCTCAAGGTCGGCAGTTCGAAACTACCAGCCATTCCGTGGGAGAAAGTTGAGGCTCTCTGTTCCCATAAAGATTTACAGCCTTAGAAACCCTGTACAGGGTCGCTATGAGTCAGAACCGACTCCACAGTACATAACAACAACAACACCTGATAGAAAAATAAAGGTGTGCCTGACCCAAGCCATGGTATTTTCAATAACCTCATATGCATGCAAAATCTGGACAGTGAATAAGGAAAACCGTAGAAGAATTGATACTTTTGAGTTACAGTGTTGGAGGAGAATATTGAGAGTGCCACAGGCTGCCAAAATAACCAACTGATCTGTGTTGGGAGAAGTGCAGCCAGAGTGCTCCTTGGAGGCCAGGATGGCCAAACGTCATCTCTCATATTTCGGACATATTGTCAGGAGGGACCAGTCACTGGAGAAGGATATCATGTTTGGTAAGAAGGAGGGTCAGAGAAAAAGAGGAAGACCCCCAGCAAGATGGACTGGCCAAGTGGCATCATCAATGGGCTCCAGCGTGGAAACAAATGTGGGGTTGGCCCAGGACCAGGCAGTGTTTTGTTCTGTTGTGCTTATTAAAGTCGCTATGAGTCAATGGCACCTAACAACAACAACAAAAATAATATAACAACAACTACTTGAGAATAATAAGTAAATAACACAGTCTCTGCCTCAAACTGCTCCATCTCAATGACGAGTACACACCTAAGTACAACAGAGCTTGGTAAATGCAATCATAGCAGTAGCCAGAGAGCACTGAGAGCTCACAGGAAGAGCACTTAATACAGCAGAGAAGTAATAAGGTTTTCCATAAGAAAAGTAGCAATTAGCCAAATAAATGACAAACAGAAATTATCCAATACAAAGACATTGCAAACAACTTCAAATGGCATCTGATATAATTACAGGCAGTTTCATCAGAAGTTATCCTCCCTTGTTTTAAACGTAAATTCATTAACAAGCAGTTCACATTTTACAAAGCCAATTGTTCTTGCCTTCCAGGTAGGAGACCCAAGTTCAATTCCTAGCAAATATACTTTATATGCAACTACCACACATTGGTCAATGGTAGCTTGCATGCTGCATAATGTAACAAGTTTCAGCAGAGTTTTCAGACAAAGGACAAAGACTTGGTTGTCTACTTCCCAAATTCAAGCAATGAAAACCCCAGGGATCACAAGGAAACACTAACCTGGGGATAGCATTGGACTGGGTTTTTCTCAGTTGTGCATGGTGTCACCATGAGTCAGGTTGACTTGATGGCAGTTAAAACCAACACTGCAATATTAGTGTTGTTGTTAAGTGCTGCCGAGTCAGTTTCAACGTCACAGCAATCCTGTATAGGGTTTCTGAGAAGCAGCTGGTGGGCTTGACCTGCCAACCTTGTGGTTAGCAGTCCAGTGCTGATCCTACAGCACCACACCAGGATCCCACTAAAAAGTTTATTGGTCTATATGAAGGTAAGTCAAAAAAGTATTGCTAGTGATGCCTGAGATGGAGGCAGAGACGATGACGTGGAGTGGTGAAACAGCTGGGGACTTTAGATTCAGAGAGGGAGAGGGGCTGTATGCTGACAAGTGTGGGGAGGGCAGGCTTGTAGTATATAGCCTTTGGTTGGTTGATGATGCATGGAGGGGACTGTAACCATGACAATGAAATGATATACAATAGGATGAATGTAAAACTAATGTTCTCCCATGTAAACAATCACGTAATTCACAATAAAACATTAAAAAAAAAAAAGTTCTATACTCTGAGGACTCCCCAAATTTATATGCACAGCAACCAGCTCTGGGCCTTGCTATTTCCCCTAACTCTAGCCACCATTCTGCTCACTTCCGGTGCTTCAGACCACACTGGCTTCCCTAAAGTTGATAGCTTTGTATCTCTCAAGTCTCACTATCTCAGCGGTCTTTCCTGAAACATCCCCATTTTCTATCACAATAGTAAGTTTTGTTTTTCTGCTCACACCACTTAGCTTGACAAACTGGATTTCTTATACGTATTCATTTTCTTGTTCAGTGCCTGTTTGCTTTAGTAGATGTAGCTCCATGAGAGCAAAGACCACTGTGTCTCCCTTTATCTTTGTCTTCCTGGTCCTGGCTCTGTGCCTGGTTCAGAATGGTGCTTGATAAATATTTTTGTTATATGAATAAATGACAGTATATATATACATATAAAGTATTGCTAGTAGGTGCCCAGCACAGATTTATTCCAAACAAAATGAGTTTAAACATGTCTTTATGATCAGTGAATGACTGCACACAAGTTCTCTCAGTATTACACACAGGGCACTTTTTGTGCTGTAGGGAAAAAATATTACTCGTCGGGTTAATATCAAACTTAATAACAAAACTCAAGTGGACATCTTTCCAAATCATTGAGTATTGTAAAAAGTGTATACGAGTGCTGTACCACATAAAACAACAGTTTTTAGATGGCTCAAACATTTTAAGGAAAATCAGGAAGACCTCAAAGATAAGCAAAGAGAGGGAAGACCATGAACTCAGATGAAGAAACTGTGGCTATGGTTCAGAAAGTGAAGGAAGAAGACTGTCGAATTACCATTCCTGCAACGGCTGCTGACGTAGGGGTCTCACATGCATCAGTATTTTCAATTTTAAGAGAACATCCTGGCCTCAGCAAGCTTTAGGTTTGATGGGTGCCAAAAGCGTGTGAAGATCAACTGGCTCAAAAAGCTGATTTTTCTAGTCTTTTAAACAAGAGAAAAGCTAATAAAGATGATTTTATGAAACAAATCATAACCTGGAATGACTTTTGGGTTCACCAATATTGTTCAAAAAGTAAGATCCAATCAAAACAGTGGCGTGGCTTCCAGTAAGTCAGTTGAACTCAAGGTCAGCTCAGAAGGTCAATGGTGAGGGTATTTTAGCAAGATTCAAAGGGATAATCTTGATAGGTTTCTTCAAAGGGCACATTACAATCAAAGGGCCTGTTATAAAGACGTTTTAAGAAAATGGAAAACTGTGTAGGTAATAAAAAGGTCAAGAAAGATGTGCCAAGGAATTGTTTTCCATCACAACAATGTACCTGCTCCTTCTTCGAGGGTAGCAAAGTCTGTCCTACGAGAATTTTTATGGGTCACTTTACCCCATGCCCCCAACAGCACTGATTTTGCCCCTTCAGGCTTTCTTTTGTTCCTGAAACTAAAAGAATATTTAAAAGTAACATGATTTGAGTCTCTCGAGGATGCCAAAACTGCTGTTTTGATGTGGCATACATTGAAGAGCACAGAACTCTTTGAGGAAAGATTAGAGAGACAGAAACACTGTTTTCAGAAGTGTACAGACCTAGAATGAGATCTGCTGAGAAACAATAGCTTCACATTGTGATATTTTTATTTAATAAAAGTTTCTATGATTTTGTAGCAATACTTTATGACTTGTCCTCATATATCTATTTGTAGTCCAAGCTTCTACTATGGTACCGCTTATATAATAAATGGTCGCTAACACTCATGATTAATGATAGCCAAGATGATAAGTAATTACATCAGCAAAATTAAACCAAAGGCAACTTTAGGAAAATTTCATCCATTCTTAAAGATGATTTAGACAACTAATGCAGAAAAGTCTGGGGCCTCATCTAAGTACCTTCACAGTAGTATTGTCTTCTCTAAGAAGAAGAATTTCAGCTGTGAGAGCATCGATGAGCTCTCGATGATCAACCAACATTTGTTCCAGTTGCTGCCTTGTCTCAACTTCTTTACGCAGTTGCACCTCACTCTACAAATAAATACCAAATAAACTTCCATCAGTAGCATCGTGTGTTGAAAACGAAAAGTTGTTCATCAATTTGGTTCAAACATAACATGTGGGGATGGCACAGAGTGGGCCGGGCAGTGTTTCCTTCTGTTGTGCAACAGGGACACTACGAGTGACATGATGGCACCTAACAGCAACACTTAGTTGACTGTACTTCCTTTGTTCAGAAATTACAATACATTAGATGAAATGAGAAAATGTCCTGGAGAGGAGGCTCTTACAATCTCACACTCTTACCTCTCGTAGGTACCGAAGCAGGCGGCAGAGGGAGCTCACCAAGGACAACGTGAAGCCCGTGAGACCCTGACCATTCTGCAGTCCCTTGACCTCACGCCCTGTCCACCGCTCATATTCTTCCATTTCGTGTTCCACTTCATCTATCATGTGTTTGAGGATATCCAGGCTGGGATTATTGTTAGTTCGTAAATCTGCAGAGGCTGTACTAGTTGATAACATGTTTTTCTTCTGCTTGGAAGGAGCATGCAAATCCGGTTTTCTTTTCACTGATGACAGAAATGATTCTATTTTTAAGGCCAGCAAAAATTAACTCAAAAACTGCTAAAAAGACCTTTTAGGCTGTTGTCCACAATCTAGAAAATAATTCTATAGAACTTATTACCATTCCTTCTCATGAAAATGTATACAGTTTAGACCAGGTTCACATTGCCTATAAATAATTATACTGGACTCTTCAGCAGAGCTACTTGGGATAGAAGAAGACATTTCTTAGCGCCCATTAAATAAACTCTTACTTAGTTGGCTCTAACTTGATGAGACTAGGGGTAAAAAAAGTACCAACTAAGAGATTAAGATAAAATAATCTCTGGGTAGCACAAATAGTTAAATGCTTGACTATTGTCCAGAGGTCAGTGGTTGGAAGCCACCAATATTCACCTCAGAAAACAGGCCCGGTAATCTGACTCTGAACAGTCACAGCCTTGAGAACCCTATGGAGCACAGGTTTCCTCTGCACACACGTGGTCACAAGGAGTTGGAACCAACAAGAAGAAGATATTAAGATAGCTGTATCAAGTGAGAGGTTTTAATTATCCATCTTTGTAAAATAAGGAACTAAAACCTTTATTTAACAGATGCTTTGGCTTCCTGGGGTTCAGCACTTGTCCCACAATGTAGCTGGAATCTAGAGTCTCAGAAGATTCTTGAGGCTGAAGCTTGGTGTGGATTCTCTTGACAGCATTGGTTGCATTCAAAGCAGCTAAAAGGAAAATCATTTCCGAAAGTATTCATCTCAAGTGAACAAAATTTTTTTTTAAGTATTTTAACTGAAAGATCCTATCAGTAATTAGGAATCATGGTATGGCGTTGTGGGTTAATGCTCTTGACTGCAAAGTCACTTGAACCGCAAGGTTGGTAGTTCAAGCTAGCCAGCTGCTCCTTGGAAACCCTATACAGGGTCACTACGGGTTGGAACCAACTCAACGACACTTAACAACAACAGTAACAACATCAGTAATTAACTCAACTAGGCTAGAATACTCAAAGCTCAAATAACATTATTTTAAAAAACTACAGTGTCCAAGAGCCAAATACAGCAGCCTAGGACTTGGTGAGAAACATACCTCTTTGGTCACCTGATAGAGTGGCAGATACTGGAGTTCCTGAAGGAGAGGTTCTGTGTGACTGTGCTGCTATTTTCTGCTGAATATCAGTCCAGAGTTTATTAATTAACTCAGAATTTTCTTCCTTTAGTTGGTGAAGAAACCTATAAAATAGATGACAATAGATATATTCAATCCCTGGTGGTGTGAAGGTCATCAATTCAAACCCACCAGTACCTCCTAAAGAGAAAGCTGTGGTGGTCTGCGTCCAGAAATAGAGCCTTGGAAACACTACAGAGCAGTTCCACTCTGTCTCCTGGGTCACTGTGAATTGGAATCAACTTGATGGCAATGATAATGGGATGTTTTCAATTCTTGAACTGCTTACATGATTGATTTAAAGGAACTTTAAATAATTTATAATGAAAAGAAACACTTTTCTATAATAAGATGGATGGCCAAAAAGGATTTGATATATGGCCAAAATGCCTGTCATCTTACTGTTTGAAGGAATGATTCTGACTCCTTCCCAGCACCTTGCCTACCTTGGCCCCTAAAGCAGGAGCTTTCTTCACTTTCTGTAATATTGGCACACTCCCTCCAATCTCCTCTCTCTTTCCCTACAGAAAAGAAATTAAACATCTGTGGATCCGCCCCTCTGGTTTCTTTAGCTTACAAATGGACCTGTCCTCAGAACACAGCCTGCCCCTTCTCACCACTGAAGTGCATTTATTGGAGTAGAATGTGCCCCTGTGGGGTAGGGGTGGGAGTGGGGTGAAAGATGCTGCAGTTTTAAGAAGTTCTTTGGTTACAAAGCTTATGCTATAATCTATTTTATCACTGACAATGATATTTTCATCTTTAGCAGTTGTTTTTTTGTCTGTTTCTCAGTTGAGACTTAAAGAAGGGGATTGAAACGTGGAAACAATCTAAAGGTACACTAACTGATGAATAGGTATATATAAAATGTGGAATATCGGTACAACAGATTATTATTAAGTCACACAAAAATAATAAAAGAAATGAAATACTGATAAATATGGCAACATGAGTTTTGAAAAAACATTATGCTACATTAAAGAAGTGAGGCATGAAAGACCACACACTTCATGATTCTACAAAATACCCAGAACAGGCAAATCTGGACATTTTTGCCTAGATACAGTAAGGAGCTCTGGTAGTGTAGTGGTTACAAATTGGGCTGCTAACCTCAAGGTCAGAAGTTCAAAACTACCAGCAGTTCCACATGAGAAAGATAAGGCTTTCTGCTCCTGTAAAGATTTACAGCCTTAGAAACCCTATGCAGGGTTCACTATGGGTCAGAACTGATTCAACAGGACTTAACAACAACAACAACAGTAAGGTAAATTGCCCAGGGCCGGATATCATAACATACTAGGGCTAACACTGTAGAGAATGTATTTCAAAATGTGGAATAAGGACCCTGTATGTAAACCAAGAGGCAGTAATTCAACAGAACAAGAGGATACTGAATGGTTTAAAAAACAGGAAAGGTGTGCAACAGGGATGTATTCTTTCACCATACTTATTCTATCTGTATGCTGAGCAAATAATCCAAGAAGCTGGATTCTATGAAGAAGAATGTGCATGAGGGCTGGAGGAGGACTCATTAACAACCTGCAACATGTTGATGACACACCCTTGCTTGCTAGAAGTGAAGAGGACTAGAAATACGTACTGATGAAGATCAACCCAGCCTTCAATATGGGTTTCACTATGCAAAGAAAGCAAAAGTTCTTACAACTAGGCAAATAAATAATATAAATGGAGAAAAGACTGCAGTTGTCAAAGTCTACACTTTTCGTGGAACCACAATCAATGCTCATGAAACCAGCATTCAAGAACCCAAATGGTGGCAGAAGCAGAAAAAATGAGGAGAAAACCGGAGTGATCCGAGAATGCTGCCAGAATTACGAGGCTCCCCATGAAGCCCAAAAGTGAGATAACCCCAGAGGAGCTGCAGAAGCGGGAGGCGGAGTTTAGCACAGGGCTCCTCTCAGTGCTGATGCTGTTGGTCAAGAACAACACCCAAGTGCTCAACAACTGTCGCCACAAGAAGCTGCTGGGCCACGTAAAGGTCTCTGACAGGTACTGCCACATGGTGCTGGAGACAGTGAAAGACAGGTGGACCAAAGTCCCAAGGAATGGCAAGGGCAAGAAGTCCAAGTCCATCCATAAGGGCTGCTAGCTCCAAGATGTTCCTCCAAGCAGGGGCTCTGTCACTGTGGTCCTGTGGAGTCTACTCATCATCAGCAAGTAGAGGTCCAGAGCTGCCTCCCAGCACCCCGGGAAGACCTGCCCTGTTTTCTCTACTAAAAATAAATAAACAAATAAATAAAATAGCATGTTGAATTACGCAAATCTGCCGCAAAAGACCTCTCTGAAGTGCTAAAGAGCAAAAATGTCATTTTGAGGACTAAGGTTGGCCATGGTATTTTCAATAGCTTCATGTGCATGAGAAAGTTGGACAATGAATAAGAAAGACAGGTAGAAGAATCGATACATTTGAATTATGGTGTTGGAGAAGAATATTACAAGTAGCATGGGCTGCCAAGAAGAATAAACAAATTTATATTGGAAGAAGTACAGCCAGAATGTTCCTTAGCAGTGAGGACGGTGAGACTTCATCTGTTGTCCTTTAGACATGTTATCAGGAGGGACCTGTCCCTAGAGAAGAACATTCATGCTTGGTGAAGTGGAGGGTCAGCAAAAAAGAGGAAGACCCACAATGAGACGAACTGACACAATGGCAGTAGCAATGAGTTCAAACCTAACAATTGTGAGGATGGCACAGAACTAGGCAGTGTTTCATTCTGTGTGTACAGGGTTATTATGACTCAGAACCAACTCAACAGCACCGAACAACAACAATAAGAGTTCTATAAAAGTACATATATGTAAGGTAACCATGAGGTGAAAACTAAAAATCTCCTAAATATAGAATCAATTTTTTTAAAAGAACACAAGAAAACGTATCACACAGAAAAGAAAAACAGTAATTATAATATACATAGAAAACTCGAAAATACTATGGCAAAAATTGACATCAAACATATCAGCCCTATGTTATGGGCTAACTTCATCAATTTAGCCCATAAGTGTTATGGGTTAACTTTATCAATGTAGAAAAAATGTTTTAAAATTGGGTAGCAGGGCAAGACCCAACTATATGTTGAAAATAAGAGATACATAGATACAAAATAATTCAGTAATGCTAAAAATAAAAGGATGAGCCAAAATGACTCAAATGGAAACAAGAAGAAAGCAGAGGTTTCATTCTCCCTCCCTGTCCAACTAGAGCTCAAGTCAAAAAGCATTAAATGTGACAAAGAAGGATACTTTAAGGTGCTAGGAGCTTTAACGCAAAATGAAGATAATGTAATACTTAAGAAATATCTATGAACCAAAAAAACACAGCAATAGCCTTTATAAAGGTCTATAACTCCAAGCAGAATTAGGTATCTTTAAGAAATGCAAGAAGAAATACAAACACACTAAAAGAACAGGGGTTTTAGTACACTACTCTCAAAACAAAAATAAGGATATAGAAGGATAACATAAATAGAGTAGAAATTATGGATGTATACATAGAACTTTATACCTTGTTAAGAGAGAATTCTCACGCACATACATGGAACATTCACAAAAATCTGATCATATATTAAGTCACAAAGATAAAAACATCATTAAGTTCTGCAAGTAGGAATATTACTCTGAAAGCAATGTAATAAAATTAGAAATTAAAAACAAACAAACAAACAGAGGCTGTTCTACCTGGAAATTTTGAAAAAACAAACAAAAACTTTATTTAAGTAACTCTTAGGTAAATGGTAGAATATACACTCAAATTACCTAACTTACAAATAGTAAAACACTACCTATGGGAATGTAAGGACTCCTGGTGTGGCATTGTAGGGTCAGCACTGGAGTAGGAAGCACAAGACTTGGCAGTTCAGGATAGAACAAACAAGATGGCGGAGAAGATAGAAGTGCACTGAGGAGCTCTGTCAGCAACAACACAGAATACCGGACTAAGCAGGCTCAGGGAATGGTCCCATAACTCTGAATCACATATAAAGGAATATTTAGAAAGTTGGAAGGCTTATGCCAGCGGAATTTGTAACAGAGCAGGAAATCCAGTGCTTTCTAATCCAAGGTGCTCAGAAGCTCCCTGAGCAGCCATCTTGGGCGAGACCGAATGGGGGAAGGATCAGAGCAGGCACAAATGCCTGACAGAACTGCAGAGATAAAGATGTGGACACTGTTTT